CGATAATAGTATATTAAAGTATAAGTCGATATAACGGTCTTTAAAACACGCGCGATTTTTCGAGCAAGTGTTTTAAAGACCAGTTATCCACAAATACTTTACGATTTTTTTTTTATTGGTATACTTTGAAATCCTAAATATTGGTATTATTTCTACAAAAAAATGGAATTAAAAAACTAATAACTGAAAATGGTTGAATTTGTGATGTAACATCAGTACACCTCGTTGACATGAAAATGAGACAAACAAAAATTTATTTTCAATCTGTCATGTAAGATTAATTGTCGCAACAGTTGTTATTGTTTAAAATGAGTTCAAATATTGAGTATTTAAATAATAAAGCAGAATCGCGCTTAATACCACAAAAATCCGAAGCGGTTTATAAAAAAGAATACGATAAATTCAACACGTGGATGGAAGAGCAAATGGTTACACATATAGATGAACGAGTTGTTCTCGCTTATCTCCAGAAAATGTCGGAACAGTATAAAGTATCGACTATGTGGACTCCATTCAAAATTACAAATATTTTATTTGACATTACAAGGCACTCCTGTCAGATCAATATTTAAAAAGTTGGCATTTAGACATCACGTTTCTCGGGTTGTTGATGTTGCCATGGTAACTTTAAAACACGCGCGTTTTTTAAAGTTCGTTTTAAACACGCTGAGGCGTACTTTAAATAAGTAAAATAGGATACCAATAAAAAAAATGCATTTTTGATCAAATTTCCAATTCGCTCAAATGTTTTTCGATCAGTTTTTGCCACCTCAATTTGATACCGCGATAAATAGGTAGATACTTTAATTCATCCATATTAGGGCAAATTTCATAATCGAACCCTAAAGGCAGATTTAAAAAAAGGAAGCTTCTATTTAAAGTTCACTTTAAAACTTCCTTTAAAAAATGGCATTTCATAATGGTTTTTCTAATGTACTTTTACTAAAACGTGCTTTAACAAAATTTTACCATGTTGGTATTGCTGATCTGTGTTTAATTCTAATTAACCGGAACATTAGTCACAAAAATGTTAAGTTTCCTACAAAATGTTTTGTAAATATTTTGTAAAATGATAGGTATCATGTAAGCTCTTCGGGTTTTTCCAAACTAGGTGAAAAAGAAATTGAACGTTTTGAAATTTAATCATTCTAGAAATTAATATCTGCAATGTAGGACACAGGAAGCAGGGTAATGCTATGGGTAATAATATTAACAATTGTAAGAACCCTTTTATCGAAAGTACGAACCTCAGAGTACCTATATGTAATTACAAATGATTGCTTTTAATCTATTTTAAATTTTAGTTTGGGATTTCCGAAATTATAGTATATGTCAATGTGTCCTATCGTGAAAAAGGGTTTCTCTGGGAAAAATAAAAGTTATTTAAAAGAAAAATTGTTTTAGTATATTTTATAGTATTTTACAACAGATAAAATATATAAACAATGTTGAAAAGGTTGGTATAGCTAGAATACTATTTTTATTATAATAAATATGAAAATCTCTTTCAAAATAGATCTTGGAAAATACTGACTTTACGTTTCAATGCTATAAATCAAGTGACGACAACTGTTGAACAGTAAAAATCAAAATTCAACAATTTCAAAATAAAGTTATATTGTTTGTTTGTGTATTCACATCAAATTAAACCAAACAACTAGCGCGATGTCATAAAAAATTCTCAATCAAAATGAAAAACTTTCAAGCGTTATCAGAAAAAGCACGCTTTAAAGCTTCTAAAGGAGCAGAATAGGGTATTTAGTTAAACGAAGCTTTAAAGTGTACTTTTTCAATAAGTTTGTTTTATGAAATCGATATAACATTTAAAGTGTCCTTTTAATATTGAAGTTTCCTTTAATTTGATTATGAAATTGGTCCTTAGTATTCTAAGAATTATTTTGTTAATTATATCACAATGAGTTCCAATACTTAGATTGTTAGTGAAATCTTCTTCATTATATACCTAATTTCAAAAAACTCAAAAAATATTTACACAAGGTCCATAAGAATGAAGAAAGAGCAGATTAGTAACTTTCTTATGTAAAAATATCACGATTTAGCCAAACTTGCCTATCCGAAAGTAGATATTAAGCTTGTATTAAGCGACATATAGGGTAAAGGTACAGTTTTTTTTACTGAAAGTCAATCGGACTGCCACTTAAGTGTAAAAACAACAAAACATACGATTCTTTCCAAATAAAAAAAAATCAAAATAATTTTTTCAAGCACCCTGTATCTGACTTGAAATTTAGTCTAAATAGATAAATTTGGCTACATTTTCATAGTTTTATGTAAATAATCTGTTGCTGTTTCGTGCCCCTTACCCTTCGAGATACGATGTATTGTTAATTTTAGAAATTTAACGATCCCGAAAACTCCCTCTATCAAAATTATATAAAGATCAAAGTGATTTTGTTTTCTTTTTATTTTTTAAAATTTGACCATTTTCAGATGAATTTTGTACCATATATAAAGTAATTCAAAGTTCAAATGTTCTTTGAGCTACAAAAAAGATTATAGACACACAGAAACACGTGCACTCATGGCGCCCAATCCCCAGGATCACTTCTTGTTGCTGGCCGCCGCATCTCCATGACAAAAAAGAAAGCATTCGAAGGATAGAAAGAGTATACGCCTGCATTTTGCATTAAAAACAATGCATTTTTATAATGAAATTGTGGCAATTCTAACGCATCAATTAATTGAAATTTTAGAAGCATATTAAGAACATATAAATAAAGTATGCTCTTCTTTCGTTTTTTTTTTTTTTTGATATTTATGAAATTATACGCGTAATAATTTTTTGAAGTTGGACAAGTTCAAGCCGACTTTAAATTTTTTTTATTTGTCTTCTATTTATTTTTTGAAAATTTTGAATGAACAGCAATCTAAGTTTCAGTTGTTTATATAACATATATTTGTTTCAATAACATCCGAATACTAGATTAGTTACAATTCCTTAATAAAAATCCTTAAAAATTTAAGACTATTTTCAAAAGTAAGAATCCCCTTAATCTACTTCACATAAATTATTTGACGTTTATTAACGTCAGTTATATTTTTTCAAAGCCACCTTGATAAAACCGTGTCTAATATGTCAGGCGGCTTTGGAAAAAGGACACAATTAATTATAAGAGTATCAGATCATTTTTTATTTGAAGTGAATCAGAAAATACACCCATAAAAATTTATAAAAAGCAAATAAACTTTAACAGAAAATTCTGACAATCTTACAATTGCATGTTTTTGATGTGGATTCATAAAAAAAATATCTCTCCCAAACCTTTAATACCTAATCAAAATGTATGCATTTTTGAAAAGGAGATGAAATGGACTTTCGGATGATATGAAAATATATAGGGTGTTCTATTTAAATTAAACCGATAATTTGGCTTAAAAATAGGCATTTTTTTCCTGCAGTTTAGAAAAAAATATACATTTAGCAACTATGTCAACAAAAATTTAAGAAATGTAAGAAGTTAAGCGAAAACTGCTTGTCGATATATTTTTCCATTTTCGAGTTAAAAGCTGTTAAAATGTGTTTCTTTATAGTGGGACATCCTGTAGAACTGTCAACTGAATTGCAGATTAAAAAAGTACATTTTTACGAATATAACAGTAATTGCAGAACGCTGGCAATAGAAGGAGTACCTACTAGATTTCGCGAACTTTAACAGTGCTCCTTTTATATATGAAAGAAAAACAGTGAAATAATACAAAATATTGACCAAGAAAATGGAATGGAAGAATGAGAAGAGACAGGGACATAAAATAAGTGACAAACAATAAAAATAAATGCAGAAAAATGTGCACCAGTCTAACATGCACGTTAAAAATGTTAAATATTAAAATTCATCCAGCTAAACGGCTATTGAACATTACCTTCATTAAACGTGTCTTCTAAGAGGTGAACTAAAATTAGTCATGATTGGTCGCAATTGGAGGTATAGGCTACTTGGATAGAGAAGATTCTAATAATACATTCACTGTGTAATTAGGTTTTTCAAATCACATGATTTGTAGACAGTTAAAATAGTTGCCTGATGAAGATGACGTGACACTAAGGATAAAACTATTAAAAAAATCACACACTACACCGTGTTTTTGTTCAAAATCTACCATCAAAGCAAAAAGTCACCGTTACTTAAACAGGTTCAAAAACAACTTGAACAGATTAGTAAACAAACGTTTATGTCAATCAGGCAACCATTGGGACAGGACATTGAAATGCCTAATTTAACGAATCGGCACATTACAATGGTAACGTCTAACAACAACGCAAATGAGTCACTGGCGCATCTTTACGTAAATAATATTCTCTATCCGATTGGATTCTAGAATCAATTTCCCGCCTATTTAGAACATAACCTAATCACTGAAATAATTGAAGTGCTTCATTAAAATAGGAGGAAACTGGATTTGGTCTTTGTCTTTACATAAGTTCCTAAAAAGGCCGGTACAAGAAATCAACTTGTCAATGCTTGGACACTCTCCCTACAGTCCTGATTTTGCTCACTGTATTTTGATTTGTTTTTGAAAATCAAAGATCAACTGAAAGGACGACATTCGACACTGATGCCGCCTTAATTGCAGGTCAGGAAAGGGTATGTTTGGAGCTTTGATTTGTGATTTTAACAAATTCATAAATGTAATAAACTAAATCTTATTTTGGAAAAATAAAATAATTTGTATCGGAATCTCCCAAAATATCAACTCGGCACACTCCAGATTAAATTCTGACCGCTCTACTTTACCGCACTTTCCTTTTTGTTCCCCCCATTATGACGTCCGTGGAGTGTATCGAACTTTTAGCCCATTGTTTGCGTTTAAAAAATCAAAATAGCAAACTATCGTTTTCGAAATATTTCTTCCAAACTATTTAAATTAGCCATCACAAATTACAAGCGCTCTTGTCCAAAATAAACAATTAAGTATTCTAACCAGAAAAAAAAACAATTCTAAAAATAATATAAAACGTAGGATTATTATATTACACTTACCTGTTGTGTGTTTGTTAAAAAATTAAAATGTTGGTATTTCCAATGAATTCAGCGCATGGAGCCCTGCATCGACAGAAAAGTTATGTAAAAGGTTTATGCAACAGATGAACAATGGACAATATTTGTCGGTCGGAAAATCATATCGCGAACGATTAAAAATAACTCGAACATTAGCTTTGAGCTGTTCGGAAAGAAAAGGCCAAACTATATGCCAAAATCTTATACCATTTATATATTGTAATCGGGCTAAAAATAATTGTCTGTGGATACGGCTACGAAATTCGTGGCAATCAAATCGAATACGGGGGTCGGGCTGAAAGTTTTCTTGATATTTGATATACTTACAAGACCCGTCTCGGTATACTTAACAGGCTTAGTTAAATTCGTTAGAAAATTGCCCCAATAAAATGAACTGTTACATCTGTTAACAATAGTTTTGAGACAAAAGTTCGAGGTCAATTTTGTGGTTTCAAAAAATTAATTTGTAAACAATATACAAAAAAATGTCGTGATCCTTATTCGCTCCGTACGTGACAGCAGCGCCAACTAATTTATAAACTAACGGACGATTTTTTCGTGTACTGACAATACAATTTTTAACAGAATTCGTAATTAAAAAAAAATATATATTCATTTTAATAAAAGTATATGGATTTGGAAAACAAGTGAAAAAAATTATTTTATTATTAATATATATTTGTATTGCTTCAACTAAACAAAGTAAGTATAATCAATAATAAAACATAGGCAGGCAACAGTATTTACGAGAACTTGCCTAAGCTCCATAAGTTGTCATCGAACAATAGATTAAATGATGTCGAAATAAAAAAATACCATTAAATAATAACGTGGATTCAAAATGTGATTAACAAAAAAAAAAAAAATAATTGGCATATTTGCGATTGTATAATTTATATTTTCTTCATTTTTAGTTCGAAAGAAAATTAATTAAATTAATTAAATTAATAATAAAAACTGGTTTCCTATCAATAAGTCACAAAATTGCAATCCAGCTATATACAATAATCAAAGGCGGAAATCTAGTCCTTGCTGAACATTTCAGATTAAAGAGATGTTGAAGAACATCGTAAAATTGTTTATTGGACTATTTCCAGAATTACTAGTATTATTAGAAAAGTGAAGGTATCTACTTTTTCTTCTTATTTTACAGCTATCCATTTATTTCTTTGAATTAATTTTCATTTTACTACTGAAAATTTATATAATTTACACTATTTTTTTGCTAGTATTTTTACAATTTACAACACAGCGACTCCGGTTGTTCATTGTATTGTTTTTACCTATTAAAAAAAAAAAGTAAAATGTATACGTGTATTTGATACGCCAAAATTTCAAAATAAAAGTGCTCGAATTATCTACAGCTTGCGTTAGTATCCTCAGAGTAGTACAATGTTTGTGTCGCCTTGACAATATGGTCGAGAATCGCATCCAAAATTCTAATTAGAGAGAAATAGATTAATATCTCTATCTCTATATTTATTTTCCAGTTATTTTTAAACAATTATTTAAGTTTTTATTTAAATTCGTTCAAATATGGTGGTGTTAAAAGATACTTTGGTTAGTAGGGTTTATTTTATACTAGGAAAAAACTTGAGTTTTATATGATTTTAAATATAAAAGAGGAAGTGAGGTTACGCTTCACTCGTTAATATTATTTCTTACCAAAGAACATGGGCGTCGTTTTCGGTGAAAAAAGGAAAATAAAATATGAATATTAAAAAAAAAATAAAATTGTTATTATATTTAGTGTTTTAAAAGACGAATTATAAGAAACTTATGGTTAGAGTTTTGTGTTTAATAAATTTGGCGAAGCAATAATGTTTGAAGGTTTTTAGTATAGTAATTTCTTCAGATACTAAATCATTTGAACAAATAAAAGAAGTGATAGATTGAACAAAAGTACCTCATACACTTCAGTATTAAGTTCAAGGTATAACTCTGAAACTCTCATCAAGAAAATTTGATTCACCATTAATTAAGAAATAAATCAAACATTGGATTTGATCTAAGCTGATACATTAAATTGTGTATGGAATACTTATTTCAGAAAACTTAGATATTTTGGTAACTTTACATTTAAGTCTCTAGAAAATTGGTTATTACGAAGACTTTTTTGTTGCCAACAGTACTGCTTCAAACTTACGAAACAAATAAAACATTACAGACACAATTAAGATGAGTGAAAAAGTATGTGCAATATCAAAAAATTAGTGCAGAATTGCCGATTTGAAAAGAAACAATGATTTTATTAGAGCGACATCAACATTGTATAGATTTATACAGTGGTAGCCTATCTGTACATATATTATCTAAGCTACTATCGCTTTTGATTCCTCTGCAATGACAACACTGAGCGAATATGCTCTAACATTCAATCATGTATTGGGATAGATACGCCTTATTTACAAAAACAATCATCGCATGATAATTAGGTCCACAATCGCACGCACACACATACTTTAATTACTATCCGGTGCAAGAGAGACGTCCGACACGCCCAACATAGGGCGCGATTATTTTGATGCAATTACTACTAGGTTAGGCAACACATTTTTCTAAAATGTTAAACTGGTAGCCTACATCTTGGTATTTTGAGATTTTAAATGAAGGCAACAAATGTAGAAGAAAGATTTATTTATTTTAAATAATATACAAGAAACTTCTTTGAAGTAAAGTTATAATTGCGAGTGCATCTTGAAATAGAGTTGAGTGATTTTAACTTATTTCTAAAGCTGTGCATATAATTATGATATTTTTCGCCAGTCCCATGCCCATAAAGAAAAATTTATTTTTGTAATGTAATAAAAATCATTGAGGCTAAACAATCTAATATTATATTTTACATTTTTTCAACTGTAAATATGGTACGAAACTATAAAATAAAAACAAAGAAATATGAAATTAAAGAAGCTCTAACTAAAAGATATTACCAGAGGAATATACTCCTGCAGGAAAGCTGCAAAAGATAGTTATTTGTTTTTTATCTTATAATTTATCTTAGACAGACACGTTAAATTTGTATAACAGTTATTTTTTTAAATTAGTTATATGTAGTTGTTAAATTTTTAACTAAAACAGATGTAATGTTCATCTACAAATGAGTCTTCTTTCAGTTGTTACACAGTAAGAAATTGCTGAATATTTTCTATTCAAGAAAATACCCCTATGGGTATTCTCATTTTCAAAGGTTACACAAGTTTGTTAATTGTATTATCATTAGATTGCCAGTGTACATTTTCAAAACTCTTGCATATCTCTCTACTTTCTGCTTCTATAGCAATCGATGGTCTAGCTATGCTTTTCTTAGTCCGTCGACTTAATATTGTAAAAAGGATGTCAACATATTGTGGCTCTAAAAGACGTTTTTGTTACTTTTATGATTACTATGAATGTCTAACGTACAAAATCAATGTACCTGGATCAGTGGTACTTTTGCTTCTCAGAAATTTCCACTTATCCGAAATTGTTACACAGTTTACTGTACCAAATAAAAAAATTAAATATTACGGGTAATTTTTTAACTGTTCCAGATAAACAATTTAGCAGATGAGGCCATTTTCTTAGTGAGGCCGTGGGCTACCTCTACTTTCAGGTGTGTAGATGAGCCAGAGGTAGTAAACCTGAAATAAATAAAAACAATTATAATATAAATGTTCCAAAAAGTAAACAATATTACTTACATGTTTATTTATATTATTTCGTTTGATTTTAATACTGCTCCTATCTATTGAAGTAAATGCTTCAATTTTCTTGGCATTTTCCTTCTACAAAGAATTGTTTCATGATTGATCACATACCTTTTTACATAAGAGCAATAAGCATTTTCCTCAAAATGCTAAGACTAAGAACAGACATAACAGAGTTTAGCTAAAAATAATTTCTAAACAATTTTGATTAATGGTTTGTAAACACTGTTCAAGTTAAGTGCTCGAAATTTCTAGGAGACCCGAAAAATAAAAAGAATTTAGAATACAACAATAAGAACATAATTAAAGTAGTTACTTACTTACAAATGGAAAGATTTAACATAAAATCACCAAGTAAAGCAAGATCTTCAAGATATGCATTATTTGTTAATGGTTTTGTAAAGTCTAGGTTCGTAAATAATATATATTTGGGGACTGACTTTGGGTAAATATTATAATAAAACTAAAACTATTGCGCCAAGATGCAGGCAACACGTAATAAGTGTTCAAAACGACGGAGTTTTTATCTCCTTTTAAAAGGTAATCAGAAAGCTGGGCAGTGCAACCATTCTCCGTATAGTAAGAAAATCGAAGCATGTGCACGCACGACAAACGGTACAAACCATTGACATAGAACGAAGTAGAGGCGACATAGACATTATTTTGCCATATGACAAGTGGACGCACTACGAAGACTAGAGGCATTGCGTTCGGTCTGCCAAGTTCCTTTAACTCCTTTAACACTTTTAACTCCAAACGACCCTTTTACCGTTAGGTTTAGTCCGATTAGTGACAGTTTAACACGCTTAAATGTCATTTAAAAGCACCCTAAAATTTGTCCCGCTCCAGCCCCTGACTGACCGAACTCGCCTAGGGACGCACTTCGAGTGACGGAAAAGTGTAATCAAAATGACGACTAGTCCTATTTTAGTTAATTTGAAGTTAATAGTTTTATATTTGACGGAATGAAAATGTTTTTATCTGTATACAGATAAGGAAAGTAAAGGAATCATATTTTTTACGTTTTGGGGTCCCCTGAATCCGTTTTGGCTATTATCGCGATGATGTCTGTCTGTGCGTAGGTGCGTGTGCGCATGTGAGCGTGTGCGCGTGCGTGCGAGGGTGCGTGCGAGGGTGCGTGCGAGGGTGCGTGCGAGGGTGCGTGCGAGGGTGCGTGCGAGGGTGCGTGCGTGCGTGCGTGCGTGCGTGCGTGCGTGCGTGCGTGCGTGCGTGCGTGCGTGCGTGTGTGTGTGTGTGTGTGTGTGTGTGTGTGTGTGTGTGTGTGTGTGTGTGTGTGTGTGTGTGTGTGTCTGTATCCACGATAACTCATGAACGGATACAAATAAAAACACCAAATTTAAAACTTAAGCTTTATTCCGGCCTACGGTGAACTGTTTAGATTTTTGGCACTCCTCTAGTGCGTTTAGAAACCTCGCACGGCCCGTCTGGACCCTAATCTAATGTATGAAGTCAGACGCGCCGTACGAGGTTTCTAAACGCACTCCAGCTGTGGCTGAAAAAACGTACCTAAATGAGGTATAAGGAAGATCTCAAAACTGAAAGATATATTTAGCAACAATAATAGTACATTTATTTGAAATGCTTTGCCAATAGAGTAATAATATCATTAATATGTATACTTACTTACGAATAGATTTAGATAAAAGATAATGTATATTGATTTATTGCAAACACCTACTTACACTAGCTAAACAATGCTTTTTTGAAACCAAGTGTTATTGAGGTCCAAAATACTGTGAAAAAAATAGCTTAGAACTGATGTCTCCCAGTTGTAGTTTAATAAACACAAAACATTTATTTTTTTTTGTGGGTGGAAAATCTTTTAAAGACACCAGGCTATGGTAGTGTGAGACTCCCCAGATTCTGCTCTGTTGGTATACTCACTAAAAACCACCCTTTCGTTCTCCTAGTTGTCAACCACGGAACCGTCGTTAGACATCTGCTTCATGGAGACAACGAGACCCCTTTCTTACTCATATCTCTGTTCCCTTTCTTTGTTTTTCATGATGGTCCTTATCATATTGTGTAAAGTCACCCAGTTTTTTTCATTTTCCATCATACTGGCTATAATGTTGTCTGCTGTTATTATGTCCCTATTTATCGTATTTGCTGCTTGTTTTCTAATTTCTTCCCATTTCTCGCATTCAAAGATAGTGTGCTCAGCTGTATCTGGTATATTACAGAAGTCGCAGTTCTCGTCATTTTCCCGTTCCATTCTCTTTAGGTACTTTTTGTAGACAAAACATTTATTTACACTAAACCCTAAAATCCCATTCTGCCCTTACTAATTATGCCACCGTGTTCACGAACCTTCTGCCAACACCTTCTGGACAGCTATTAAGCAGCACTAACACCAAAAGCAACAGTCTTCCATTTTTAATTCAAAACTATAAGTTTGGTTTGAACCAGCAACTGATTGTTTAGACGCGCGACACTGTTAAAAGCATGTATCCAGATACTAGTTGCTGAATCAAACAATGATATTGCCAATATCCACCAACCAGTTGTCAACATATTGCTGGCCGGTTTGTACTTACCTTATCGAATATGCAGCAACATCTGTAGTTCCACAAGAATGATATAAGTAGTTAATTTAGCTAAATTGTGCCTTATTCTTTTGTTGAGGATTGTTTTTTAATTGTAGGTGCAGTCAAAATTACTCCAGCTCACGATTTCAACGATTTCGACGTGGGAAAACGACACGCATTGCAGGCTTTGTCTGTAATTGACGAAAACGGACATTTAACTCAGGCATGTGGACAATTCGCTGGACTTCCCAGATTCGAAGCTAGAAAAGTAATCACTGAGGAATTGCGGAAAATCGGATTGTTAAGGGGCAGACAAGATCACACAATGGTTGTTCCCATTTGCAGGTTTGGATATTTTTCTATGTTATAAAGTGATTTATTGTACTTGTTTCATTTTTAGTCGTTCCAAGGACGTTGTGGAATTTTTAATTCGTCCACAATGGTTTTTAAATTGTGATTCCATGGCGGCCGAGGCAGTTCGTGACGTCAAGGAAGGCAGGTTGTCTATAGAACCGAAAGAATTGGAAAAAACTTGGTTTGCTTGGCTAGAAAACATACGGTAAGAAATATTTCAGGTAACAAACATATAGCTTTTAACAAAATATCTTTTGTATCCTTCACGAAACCGTTTTAGGACAAGTTTTATTTAATGTATAAATATGTTAATATTCTATTAAACGATAACGTATTTTTAGAGATTGGTGCATTTCAAGACAATTATGGTGGGGCCATCAAATTCCGGCGTATTTATGTTCTAGTAAATCGACTGACAAAACTGTTTGGGTAGCAGCCGAAAATGAACAAATTGCTTTGAAAAAAGCCGCTTCTAAATTGGGATTGGAATCTTCCGATCTAGAAGCCAAAAGGGATGAAGACGTTTTAGATACATGGTTTTCTTCAGCCCTTCATCCGTTTTCGGTCTTCGGTTGGCCCTCTAAGGTTTGGTAATTCTATTTATACGTTTATTACATAATTTAATTCGTTACAATTAAACAATTTTATGGGTATTACGAATTATTTCAGTTCTTTATATCCTTGAAGTTGCACAAAAATAAACAATCTGAAGTGAATAAATAATTTCATGACTATAACACTGGAATTAAAAGTAATTTTCACTTTCCTTCAATATATTTGTCTCTTTCTTAATTTGTTTTGATTATCCAGACATTATATAGGCTATACAGGGTGTCCCAAAAAAGTAGACCAATCCGTTAACCATAGATTCCTTAGGTCAGTGTTCAATATACAAGGTGATTTGCAACTAGCGCCCTCTATGAGATAGGTGATATTTAGGCTTAAATTATGATTTGTCATCCCAAAAAAACCCCGGTGTACCAATTTCAAGCCTGTTACTTAATAAAAGGAAAAAAAAATAATGAAAAAACGTATTTGTTAAAATTAACTTTGTCACCCTATTTAACTGTCATTTACTATTATATTTGTAATACTTTCTAACATATATATTTTTAAAACAGAATGATTCTTTTGTAGTAATCCTGTATTGTGTTCTATAGACTGACGATCTTTCCAAATACTATCCGTTATCGCTAATGGAGACGGGACATGACATTCTATTTTTCTGGGTGGCTCGAATGGTAATGTTGGGAACCAAACTTACCGGCCAGCTACCGTTTAACAAAGTTTTACTGCACGGTATCGTCTGCGATGCTCAGGGACGAAAAATGTCCAAAAGTTTGGGAAACGTTGTCGCCCCCGAAGATGTCATTAAAGGCGCCAGTTTAGAGGTGGGTAAAATTTGAAGTTGAATCTTTTATTACAAAAAAAATTAGTCTGTGCGTAAATTCTTCGCTAAATGAAAGATTGGGACAAATAAATAGGGTACTTAACAAGATTCTGTTATATAGGTACACCGAGAATGTACTCAAATCTTTTTGTTTTGTTTTCAGAACTTGAAGAGGATTTCTGAGACGAATTACGACTTGGGGATTCTTTCGAAAGAAGAATTGGATCGTTCTGTTCAAGGTCAGAAAAAAATGTTTCCCGATGGTATACCAGAATGTGGAAGTGACGCTCTTAGATTTACCTTGATGTCTCACAATATTAAAAGTAAGTAAATAATTAATACATTAAAACAATAAAATATAAATCTAGTTTACTGTTTATTTTGTATATTATCTAATAGCAAACTGAACACCTTGAAAATTTAAAATTCCTTCTGAGCCTTTATTTTTAGTCCGATATTTGTAAAATTTTCAGAAAATACCAATAATAACAAAACTTAGGGTGGAGAAACCTTGATTTTTTTGTAAACCTTCGAAAAGTATTTAGTTTGATAATTTTTAAAAGTAATTTCCAAAAATCGCGCCATTTGTATTAAATCTATGAACATTTGCTTTTGTTGCTTTTTGTTTTAATAAATATCCAGTAGTTTTGAAATAGGAGATGTTTCTGCAAAGTGCTGCCTTATCGATTCAAAAATTTAAAGCTCTCAATATTCTCGAGATACATAATATCGCGAAGTACTCCCAGTGATGCTCATATAAATACAATTTTTTTATTAGAAAATTGTCACAACATTTTTAATTTTCACGTTTGCTCTTAAGATTATTGTACAATATCTCAGAAGCTATTGATTAATGAAGTAATTTATATATTTTTTTGTACTTTGTAAGTTTAATTTGCATTATTCATCTTTACATTAACAAAAGAATGTCAGATAAATGAATACCTTCCGCTGGACTCTTTGAGTTATAGATCCGATCAAGAGTACATTTGAACTACTTCTAAATATTTAAATATCCAAGAAAGCAACCAGAGTTCTAAAGTTTTATAATTTTTCAGATTTTTACATACATTTTGACGTAAGGGAATGTTATACCAATAAATTATTTTGCAATAAAATATGGCAGGCGACAAAGTTCACGAAATTGTGGTATTCCAACGTTTCCGCTCTGCAAGAATTAAAAGTCATACAGTTTGACAGTCTTTCAATCGTCGATAAATGGATACTTAGTAAATTATCACACTGCGTAGATAAGGTCAACGAAGGTATGGAGAATTTTGATTTTTGTACCAGCACAGGCGCTTTGAAGAATTTTTTGTATTACGAATTCTGTGATATTTACCTGGTAAGTGTTTGTTTAACGTTAACGCCAACAGCATCCTTTCCAAATAAATATAAGTTCATACAAATCTCAACCATTTCATTTGCGTTTTAGGAAACAACGAAAAGAGGTCTACGAGCCGCAGATGGTTTAGTAGCAGCAGGTCATCTTTGGACGCTTTTAACTTGTTTAGACATTGGCTTGAGGTCCTTAGCACCGTTCATGCCTGTTTTATCGGAACATCTACATACCCGTTTGCCGCTATTTCCGGGAGAAGAGAAGGTTTTGGAATATCCTCAAGTAAGTAAAAGTTTGCTGCATTTTTTATATTCATAAATATTGAGGATGTCTTTTCTCGCTTCTGTTTACTATTATTCACTAAATAAAGCGTATTTATTTTTGGATTTTTTTTTGTTTTTTGATAATCTATACATATATTTCTCCATTTTTTAATCAACGTCTTTTATTCCAATCACGAGGCGTACGGTTACATTTCTTGGAATCGATTACCCCTTGTATTGCCAGCGTTCTGCAATTGTCATATTCGTTGACGTTTTTAACCTATAATTCAGTTAACAGTTAGATTTTTAACCGAGCACTTTCGTTTCAATAAAAGTTAATTAATTGTGTAATAAATGAAAATTTCGAATCATCGTTTTCGAGTGATGATTTTTTATAATTTTCGATACGGTTTAACACCTCAACAATACGTGTGGAAAACTTAGAGTGGATTTTATTTGTTGCACTAGTGGACTGGATTCAAAATGTCATATATGTTCGGCGGTGGTTCAGTATAAATACAACATGGAATAGTGTAACAGCAGTTGCGCACTGCGTACATAATAATGTAAGAAAGTAAACATCCATACTAAACAATGTTCGTTTGTTATCATTTTTCGTATTAATTTATTTTTGTGTGTATAAAGTCATAAATTCAACCAGTTACGTATTCTGGCACTCCCATATACCAAAAAAATAATTTACCAACTTTATTTGGAATACCGTTTTGTGAGTTCTGAAGTTACTAATCGAAGCAAGTCAAGTTTCATTGCAGTCTTACTTCGCCGACTTAATTTCTCAACATCCAAGATCCCCAGTGTTAATTTCATTAACCCTTCGCTACGCAATAAGTAAAATCTTTGATTTCCTAACTACAGTCGATCCCGAATTAACGTCCCATTATCTGTCACTGTAGTCAACCGCATCCCTTTGGAAATAATCCTTTAATAACTGAATTTTAGTTTAAATTTCCGAATATCTGACAGTAATCCCAGGCCTGTCTCATTTCAGATAGCGTCTGTTTTTTTTAATTTATCGCGAGGATTATAATTATTGCATATAAATAATGCCTATTGAAAGGACCCCGCAATAATCTTATGGAAATTGGGTTTCTGTCAAATGGTCTGAATTTTTGATATGTTGTAGATTTTTTCATCCTGAACTAAAGTCTTCATGGGCACAATGTGCTAAAATGAATATTTTGGCAGCTACGGAGCTGCCAAAGCTCCCCTGATCTGTTGCAAAACTATTCATTTTTAATACTATTTACAGATGTCAAAAGCATATTTTAATTATTCTAATATATAGGGTAATGTTTTTGAGGTCACTGGATTAAACCCTCATGTCAGATTGGAAAATTGACCGTTGACAGCTCTCAATTCACTGTCAACGATGAATATAAAAGTAAATATCCTCTTTTCACATTGAGAGTTTGGGTTTTTGAGATCGCTGAATTCAATTCTCATGTCAGATTGGACAAATTGACAGTTGACAGCTGTCAATTGACTGACAACGAGGAATATAAAAGTAAATATCCTCTTTTCACATTGAGAGTTTGGGTTTTTGAGGTCGCTGAATTCAATTCTCATGTCAGATTGGACAAATTAACCGTTGACAGCTGTCAATTTACGTGCAACGAGGAATATAAAAGTAAATATCCTCTTTTCACATTGAGTTTTTGAGCTCGCTGAATACAATTCTCATGTCAGATTTGACAAATTGACAGTTGACAACTGTCAACGAACTCAAAAACCCAAACTCAATGTTAAAAGAGGATATTTACTTTTATATTCCTCGTTGACCGTGAATTGACAGCTGTCAACGGTCAATTTGTCCAATCTGACATGAGGGTTGAATCCAGTGACCTCAAAAACATTACCCTATATATTAGAATAATCAAAATATGCTTTTGACATCTGTAAATAGTATTGAAAATGAATAGTTTTGCAACGGGTCAGGGGAGCTTTGGCAGCTCCGTAGCTGCCAAAATATTCATTTTAGCACTTTGTGCCCATGGAGCCTTTTGCTCAGGATGACAAAATCTACAACATATCAAAAAATCAGACAATTTGACAGAAACCCAATTTCCATAAGATTATTGCGGGGTTCTTTTTAGGATGTTGGAATGACATTAGTTGTATACAACCTGTTGTAATTACTTCCGTCATATTAAGTATATTATTAATTAGCTCTTAGAAGAATCTAAAAGTGTGATCGTATTACTTATATTTAAAATTGCGGATTTAATTCTTTTAGTTTTTTTAATTTCTATTTTATATTATGTATGTATCTATGTATGTATGTATCTATGTATGTATGTATGTATGTATGTATGTATGTATGTATGTATGTATGTATGTATGTATGTAAAGATAAATTTGTGTTTTTTTATCTTATTTTCCTCTTAGCTAATCGAGTGCAATTCAGTGATTCTGAACTAACAATGTTGCCAAGTTGTAATCATTGTACCCCACTACGCGTCGACTGCTTTAACAATATTTTTATTTTAAAAATCTATATCTTTTTACCAAAACGGTCAAAAATTCAGCGTTTTTTTTTAGAAAATGTTATAACTTCTTGATTTACATTACATTAGTTTTTAAAAAATATAGTAAGAACCGTTTTCGAGATATCTTGAAATAAATGCATATAACAGGCTTCAAGACTGTTAATTATGCACAGTTTCATTGTTAATATTTCGTTTCACAGACGGTCAAAAAAAAATTTTTTTTTAGTTAAGTACGTAAAAGACACTTTCAACCTTATATTTCAATTTTATTGAATTCTTAAGAAAAGTTGTTTTACGAATGAACTACTTTAAATGTTATTTTAAAGAAATGAAAATGAAGTCTTTAAAATCTAAATCTTAAAGCTTATTTTTAATTATATTTAATATTTTTAAATAAAATGTACCTATTTATTGTAGGTTTTTATTTGTATTTAAATTTTTAAATAGCCGTCTATCCAAATAAAACCATTTTAAATAAGAAATTTTTATTATAGGTATTTAAAAATATATTATCAGAAAATTTCAATCAACGCTACCCATTTTAAATTAGTCACACCAATTCATGCATTGTCAGAATTGTTAAAATAGAGAACAAACACAATGCCATTATTTCTCCTGTTCCCTCTAACTTGTGTACGGCAAAATTTTGCTACATTGAAAGTTAAAAATATACGCTATAAAACAATATTTTTAAAATCATGTCCATCCGCTTTCATCTAGCATTTTTTAGTAATTAACAATATATAACCCCTTCCATACGGTACGGCACTGCCAAGTTTTCCGTTTGTGTGCCTTTCCTCTCTCCCCGTTTAAATAATCATTAAACCCACTACTTTCACAGGTAAGGTGAATCTATCCTAATACATGATCGAATGTAGTAACAATATCCAATTAATGACTTATTGCCCATATTCGCCTTATTTATCGCCCAATTATTTCTTATTACGACACATCAAAAATAAAATGCGTGTGTAGCGTTTTTCATCGTCTAAAGAACCCATTAAAGCATTTATATCACTAGTTTCGGAGGTATCTTACTCGGAGTGGAAAAAGTGTTTTGGAAAATTGGTTTCATTGGATGCAAAAGTGTATAGATTCTCGTATTTTTTAAATGTACAGAGTTTTTCGTGTTTTTGTTCTAAAAACTTGTACGACTTTTTTATTTTTGACAGAAGTTAAATTGGACCAATGGAGCCATTGAAAAATATATTGAAGAACTGATGAATGTAGTAGTTGCAATTAGAAGACTGAAAAAGGTTTTTCGCATTAGCGTTAAAGGTGGATCAAAAGGTTAGTAGTTCGAGTGGATTTCTCAAATTTTAATCAAACTGAAATGTAAGTGGAATAAATTTGTAAAAAATTGAACATTTTTATTAAGCGCTTTCGGATTATTAAAGCCATCATCTAAGCCGTCCTAAAAGATGTTACAAATTAAAATTTTTAAACATTAACACATAAAACTTACGTCTAAGATACCTTCAACATTGAATCAATCAGACTATACATTGAGTTGTTAACAACAAATACAATTAAGAACATTTAGGGGCGATAAAGGTACCGAACCCCAATTAATCTTATTAATGATATAATAATGAATTATATTAAATTGGAAAAATTATACATCGTTTTTAGCGGTACAACAGATGACAAGCGTACCTACTGTACCTGTTGTTAATGCATTAAATAACTGATTTTGACCTTTTATGTAATAATCTATATATCTAAAATTCAACTACATTTATTCAAAATCAGGTATTCTTTTTTTACATTTTTTATCTTTTTATATATATATATTTTTTAATTGAAATACAGCAAATATAATAACTAAAATAAATATGACACTGTTCTAAGGAAAGTTAGTCTATTTTGTGTATCATAATTGTCAATCATATTTTGTAATCTAAGATTTAATAATTTGTACTTATTCCTCATAGGAATGCGTTGTCCAGATATATGTTGGAGATACTACGAGTGTTTTAATTCGGATTCTTTTGCCAGGCCGTTGAAAAAAGGCCACATTGAAATAGTGATTGCAAGCTGTTATGCCATCCTTCAACGCAATTTGTAGTTTTAGATAATCCTTCAGCAGCCGATTTCCGCTGACTCCAGATATGCTTGGCAAACATAGCTCCTCTTCTTCTATCTGTACGTAGCTGGCGACCACGAATAAATGTAATCTCAAAATAGGTTACTGTGTCTAAGTCAGAATAATATTCCTTTTCACTTTCTACACTCATTACTCATAAAAAAATATACTATAAATAATCATTATGAATAAAAACCAAATTACGATCGAGACTAGGATCGATGCTACCAAAACCAATATAATCCAAAGTTGGTCGTGATTTATTTACGAGCTCACTTTCGTTTTGAACTGATTTGACAGTACAGAAACTGGTTTGTGATTAGGTTTGAGTATGTTGGAACACTAGGTTTTTGTCCAGTTTTGATTCCGAGGTTTGTTAGAACACCAAATCTAGACTGCGCAGAATCCCGACAGTACGTAAACCGATTTACTATTGTGTTGGAACAAACCTGTCGTGCAATGTCCTGTCGGGTTACCATTTTTGTCGTAAAGTTTTATCATGTATTAATATTTAAAAATTTTAATTTGTAACGCCTTTTAGGACGGCTTTGATGATGGTTTTGTTAAGCTGAAAGCTCTCAGCCTAATGATTAATAAAAATTTATAAGTTTTTTACACACTTATGTACTTATTCCACTTACATTTCACTAGTAGTGTTTACCCCACTCCCAGTCTACTTGTTTAATCAAACTGTTCTAATAATTCTTTTCAGTTCATCTAGTCTCTACTTCCTCGTTTTTATCGAACTATTCACAAATAATTGAGGATTTAACCGGTTTTCAAAATATCACCGTTTCCGATCGAATATCGCCGGAATTTTCGAATAATATTTTGAAAGATAAAGTGGAAAACACGTACGTTTACGTGCAAGTATCGGACGACGTGAAGAAGTCCTTGCAGCTGGATTTGGATAAATCCGAAAAGAAAATGGGAAAGTTGCAAAAAGAGCTGGACAGATTGAAGAAAATGGTGTCGCATAATAATTACGTCGTTAATGTCGATGAAAAGAAGAAAGAACTTGATTCAAAAAAGGTAATATGTCATTGTGATTTATTTTAAGATTTTTTTTTGTCCAACTGACCAGAAAATATGACATTTTTTGGTTGCTAAGGATACGTAAAATATATTGAAAAACATAATACGCCATAAAAGTGTGACGGAATTTTGGTTCCACTGACAATAATTAAATGCATGATTTTTTATTTTTGGCAGAAAAAAATATCATCAAGTATATTATGGGATTGATATCAAAGGAAAAATAATAATAAAAAAAATAATTTTCTTCCGTTTTTATAAATAAGAGAGATAATGCCACATAATGAAAATTTGAAGAAACCAACTTTATAACTCGAAAACAAAAGACAATATCCAATTTTTGAAAATGCTATTAGAGTTTTTCTCAAAAAAAAAAAACATTTATAGTTAACGAGATTCTCTATTAAAACATCGAAATTTGCCCACCCTGTACATCAAGAGCATCAAGGCATCCAATTTTTTTGCTAAAGAAATGTCCAAGGTAACAGAAATTCCATACTGTCAAAAAGACCCTCATGCAATGCACGTTTAAAGGGCCCCACTCATCTCGTTCTTCTTCGCCGTTTTTAACCGACGGTTAAAAACGTTGGAAGGAAAAACGTTGACTGATATGTCCACACACAACAGTTTTTTTGCGCCAGTTTATCACGATGGACCGTACGTGCTTGTTAGCAGTGGCAGCGGTTTTGGCAGTGGAAAAAAATCGCGAAAAAAGAAAATCTCGAAGAAAATGGACTAAAGACTGGCAACTTAAACGCAGTACACTATCACAAACAAATTTACTGGAGGAGCTAAGATTGGAGCCTGGTGATTGGCACAATTACTTGAGGATGGACGAGGATTCGTATCGGAAACTGTTAAAACTAGTAACACCGTTAATTGAGAGACAAGCCCATTTACGGAAATGCATCAGTCCTCACGAACGCCTAACAGCTACTCTGCGGTTGCTGGCCACTGGCCGCAGCTACGAGGATCTGAAGTTTTCTGTTATTATTTCACCGCAGGCACTAGGACGCATAATACCCGAAACCTGCCAAGCTCGATAAACTCTAATAAAAAATATCTATTCCACTGCCTAATATCCGACATTTTTATTATAACCAGTTGTAAATAATAATAAACAACAAAAACATGCTGAACGTCACTGCTACTGATATATGCCCGACCAGTCAAACTGTTGAGAACACACACCTCGTGTTTACTCGAACAGTTGGCACGATAACCGTCAAAAATCAAGACTTACCTGAAATTTTGGAACGACGTTCATAAACGACGTTCTTGCCCCCCACAGACTTCGTTCTTTTTCATCCGTTCTTATCGCCGCGATTCGGAACGTCGCGTTGAATCGCCGAAAATTTTTACCCACACACTACAATCATAGTCAATATTTGATCGTCCTTCTCTCAACCTAGTTTATACTACGTCATGAAAAAGAACCACTTGTTAGCAGTGGCGGCGGCAGTAGCCGTTTTAAGCAAAGTAAATAAAAAAAACGAAGATCAATTTGGGTCAAAGAATGGCTTTTGAAGCGAAGAACGTATTCGCATATTAATTTATTAAGTGAACTTAACTAAGTTTCTTGATCACTCAAAAATATTAAATATTGAAAATACCACAAATTTGGTTGATAAATGTCATCTGTCCCTGCTCCTGATCTTTGAGACTCTTTAATTAAGTGTAAGGGTTAAAGAAAAGGTCCTTTATTTCTCACAAGTCAATTTAATTGGCGACCGGTTTCGAATCTGTCACTTCATCATCAGGCACACCTTGAATTGACTTGTGAGAAATAAAGGACCTTTTCTTTAACCCTTACACTTAATCCCTACTACTCACATATGGCTACCCTCACTCCAAGACTCTTTAATTTTTTTATTTCTTTTCTAAAGGAGAATCTATTGTGTTTTTACAGTTTGTGTTGTTACATTTTTATCTATTTCTTTGTATTTCTTTAGTAACGCTCCATATGCTTCATTTTTTTTTTTTTTTTAATGTGGTGTCATCGGCGTCGACTACTACGGCCATTAGCCTCGTGTTCTGTGTAGGCTTTGTTACTGTTTCCCAGCGCCACTTTAGGAACAGCACTGTTAATTAGAACCCAACAGTGAATGGTCGAGTGGGGAATCCTACCAAGGCATCAGAATTAATTTTAAATATTTAAATTAAATGAAAAAATCCCGGCCAACGATGGGATTCGATCCTGAGACCTTCCGATCTCAAAGTCATGACTCTAACCACTGAGCCAACCCACCCCCGCTTCATTCTTCTTATCTCGATCTCTGTATTCTACAGATTTTACACGCCACAGGCAAGGGAATAGTTTATATCTTTCAATAAAATCAATTAGAAATTGTTTATATGTTTCTCTGTGGTCCATGGTAAATAATGAAATAAAAATAAACAAAGCGAATTAAACAAGAATGAACTTGACTTCGCTACCCTTTATGCGCTACTGTATTAAAACTGACGATTGTAAACGAAATCCCCACACACTGTCGGTTTCGAACGATAACGGACGAACCGTCGTTCCAAAAATCAAGCGTCAGCAGATATTTTAACCGACGATGCGACACGATGGTTTTTTACCACACACATCAGTTTTTGGGGTTTTTGACACGCCGTTCCGAATCGCAGCGATACGAACGGATGAAAAAGAACGAAGTCTGTGGGAGGGTATACACCTCGTTTTTGTGACATTTTTACCCTGACGTTTTTAGCCGTCGGTTAAAAACGGCGGAGAAGAACGAGGTGAGTGGGGTCCTTTACAACTGTACTTTTAACGTCCATTTTCTTAATAAATATGGATTGGGGAAAAATCCTACTATATTAAAGTGTCAATGTCTGTCCGTGCCGCGATCTCGGGATAAAAAAAGCCAAAACCTTATCGGACACTTAGAAAAGCAAAATGACACCAAAATCATGGTACCAGGGCTGCCAGATTCAGTATGTTTGTACTGAATTCAGTACCTACTTTTTCAACTTTTTCAGTACGTCAGTGTTACGTTGTTAATTTTAGTACGTTTTTGTTAAAAATATTCAATTCAGTACCATTTTCAGTACTATTTCTTATTTAATGTCCATTTTTCGGAGAAAGTGACGTATTTTATCAACAAAATAGTCAATTTTGTACCATTTTCAGTACTATTTGGAAATTTTTCGAATAAAGTGACGTATTTTATCAACAATGAATGACAGTTAAGTCATGTGATGTGGATGAGTTAAATCATTTATTTGAAATTTATATAGATTGCACGGAAAGTAAAATATTTAGACGGTTTTTGATATACATGAAGATTATATAATTTAAGTGTAATACCCCAAGGAAATCATTTTTATTTCTCATATGTGCTCAGTCCATTTTGGTAAAATTTTTGTAAATATTTCCAATTTTTCTATATAAAAGTTATTTAATAGTTAATGAATTTAAAGCTCCAGCCATTTTTAAGGTGTTGTTCGATTTAGGTGTTGGTACATTTTCATAAAATACAGCTTTTTTTTTAAGTTATTCAGTACGTTTTTTTTTAAGATTCAGTACGTTTTATAATGTTTTTCAGTACGATTTGCCATTTTCATTCTGGCAGCCCTACATGGTACCTACTTTTGTAGTTCCCGAGATATAGAATTCGGTCGAAAATTTAAATGAACGAAATCGCCTAGATATCAAAGATTACAAATTACGACCTACTACATTAGTGCCAATGTCTGTCTGTTGTTTATCAACATACTTTTCAATCAATAAGCAATCAACTATAAATTTGCAGAACACTATTTAGATGAAAATTATGATATATTTAATGACATTATATAATTATATACATTTTTTCAAACTTCTTAAACTTTTAATTTGCAAAAATTTACTATTCAAATGAAACACGCGGCGCCACGCGCCTTGTTTAACTTTTGAAATCTTCTCAAAATTTGAAGCGTCGAAGACTCGGTCGCCCGGTTCTAATTTCATAAAATGTGACATTTTAGTACCTATCAAGAGAGACAAAGTGTCAAATTTTTTCCAGTCGCAAAAAAAATAATTAACTGCTGTAGAAAACTGTTTAACGGTGACTTCATCAACGATTTTATGTTTTCCCGAACATATTTGAAAGTGTAGCGTTTGCTATATCTTTCATCTTTGAAGTGTCACTATCACTTTCAAGTTCTTAATCCATTTTAAATGAGTCGTTAAATTGTTTGACACTTCAAAATGACTACATTAAAAATTATGATGTTTCCATGATTACAATAAATTATGAAGACTAGAGAGAAGGAGGCGAATCGGCAATGGTAAAATTTCAAATTTCTGTCCTTCTTTTTATATAGTTCGCGAAATTGACTGTAGTTGGCATGTCGAATGACATCGGTGTCAATTTTCTATGTAAGTCAATGTAAAATGAAGTAATTTTTTAAAAAATTGGTGGAAGAATCAAAATAATGTGAAAAAAAGTACCTGAGTACAAGTAACATGAGTGACAAAAAACATCAAAGCAAGATTTACGTCGTTCCAGATTGTAAAACAGGATAAAAATCAAATGTAAAACTAAAGAAAACACAAGAAGAAATCAATTCAATGTTTTTTAAAGCTTTTAATGCAAGTAAAATAATGTATTCATGTCTAAATATTAATTGTAAACTAGTCACAATATATATCTTACGAAGTGTAGTTTATTTTATTACAAGTTTCTATAATACAAAAATTTACAGTCATAGATGCTGACTTACAAACAACAATAATTATGCATTAAATTTAACTTACTAGAAAAGAAAATTTATTTTTTATAGAGTTTTATTATTAGATAAATAGTTGCTAGTGTTATTTAATTTTTTTTTTTTGACCCCAATTGTGTCATTGTAAATGTTTTTTATAGGATACTAAACATTTAGAACAGTGGCAGCATATATATCGTTTCTAGTGCCGATAAAGCACTTTCTAGAGATAAAGCTGTTCTATACTTTTTAGAAGATATCAAATATTATGAGACTATTTTTACTGATGATACTGTACAAAATAAAAAGAGGAAAGCTGAAATTAAAGGATGAGGTAATACCATGTACATTCCCAAATCTCCCTTTATACTTGTATTACAACAATAAAAAATCTGTTAACTGTGTTTTATTTTACTCTTAAAATTATATATTGGTTCTTTAAAAAAAAATTGCCACAAAAATTTCAGCATTTAAGAACCTTTTCGAATTTGGTCATACATACCTAATTTCTATTTTATATAGATAAAATTGAATAATTTATCAATTAAAACATGCTAGACTTATTTAGAAATAAATAAAACAGTATGTTCTGTGTTTTATTTAGCTATAAACAAGTTTATTTTTATTATATTGACAAAATTATGTATAATTCACATAAGAAGCCATGTATTTTGAACACCGCATGCAGTACCAGCGCCCATGCGGTTATTTGTAGAAGCTCAATTAGCATGCGTTTTTTGGTACCGTATTTTGAGTATACCGATTCGCCTCCTTATCTCTAGTCTTCATAGTTGTAATAAATCCAAATGCAACATATTTTTAATAATTGTCAATTCTTGTACAGTTGGACAAAAAATATTATTTGTGTTTTGCGGCTAAATCAGTGTTTTACAACCTTTACAACGCATTCGATAGGAAAAATTGTCAATCTTATGCGCCGTTAAAAAAAACTGAATTCGTACACTTAATACAAAAATAACTATTAGGACTATTTTTTTAATGGATTTACCTACACGTATGTTAATAATTAGAGTTTGTAGTACTTACTATTTAATTTCAGATAATTTCACTCGAGGACCAACTATCAAGGCTACAGTATTTTCAGAACATTGCCAAAGGATAGATAATATAGTTACTTTTTTATTTATTTAAACAAATATTGTTTTTATTTGATCCCATCCCTATCCAAATTATACTTTCCCTATAGTCTCATCAGACGTCTAAATGGAATGTGAAGTGTTTATAAAAAGTTTGTTCGCCTATGGTTCGGTAGATACAACCATTGCATAAAGAATAGAAATTGAAATAGCTTTATTGAAGTAGGTAACCCTAATATACAAACATTTTTTTTGAAATGTTACAACAACACTCAAATTCAAAATGCAAAATATGGAAAAAGATACAATTTATGACTCAACAAAACGGAAAAATAATTTAGGTCCAAAATATAAAAAAATGTAAAAGTTCAAAATACAAAATAAATAGAAATATGCCATCAAATAAAATGTTTAAAAGAAATTAGCACATGTAATCAACATTTACACTTATCCCATCAATCATGAACATGATTCATTATTTTCTTTTAAACAAAATGCTACTGACGAACTAGCTTTAATTAAAACGGCAATTTGTTGTAATGGGTCAAAGCATTTGAAAAATAGGGAATTCATTGATATTCGTTTATTTGTTCAAACTACGTGCACGTTACTGTTATTTCTGGTAGAGTAGTTGAATATTATTGTTAAAATTAATATATTTTACTGAGGCCCTTCCTATGGGGCCTCAGTATTGCATTCGTGCAGACGAAAAAATTTTCTTACTCCCATTTTTTTAAACTTCACGTTTCCCATCATTCTGAGTCCAAAAATGCAAAAAAAAATCGTCTGTGCGTATGTATGACGGCACGAGAACTCTAGAACGAAAGTTATGATTAACTTGCGGTTCTGATTTTCTTGAACAATTGCTTCTAACTTAGAACCCTATCGAATTTCAGAATTTTCAGTCCACCCTAACTACTTTAATATCAATGTTCTTAAAATCCGTCCATGCATTTCTTATGTGACTTATTTTACGCATTCCAATATTAGGCACTTCAATGATCTATCAAACAACAGCTGTTGATTGTAAAGGTGAGATTTCTAAGGGGGTTGCAACCTTCATATTTACAACCATAACCATTTTGGAGGCTATTTTTATTCGAAAAAGTAGTCGCCAAGCCTGCCAATTTATGAAAATTATAAGCAGTTTCTTAAAAATAGAACTTAAGCTTACTAATATTTTGTTCCTAACCACATTGACACTATCAAATTTACTGGCTCTCTGTCGTAACCTCATAGAATAATTAAACTGCCATTTTATTTGGCAAAAATTAGAATTAAGCATTCCAACGACCTGTCAAAATGCTGACAAGTGGAAACTGACAGTTTAGATATGACAACACTGTGGGCCTGTTGTCATTGACAGGGCCAATGATACATACATAGATTATTTAAAGCGGGTCGTTTGCGAATGGCCATATTGCCTTGCAAGTGCTCATTAATTATAATCAGTTTAGTAAAAATGTGTTTACAAACCAATTTTCAGCCTTTGAATATAGTAAAAAAAAGTATTACCTACATTTTTACTTTGAGGCATAAGCTTATGTCTATTTTGAAAAACATGGATGATCAATCTATATAACTCTCTATTTTATTGACCCTGTCAAATCACCAGGCCTACAGGGTTGCCATATCATAACCTGTCATAACCCACTGGTAGACATTTTGTTTGGAATGCCTAATAAGGTAAATATTACGGAGACGCCCTTTTCTTAGGAAGGAGAGTCTTTTTCAAATATACCACCGCAAACCCCATTAATTAACGTTTTTTTTTTTAAATTTACATATTAAAGGCTAATGAAGATCATTAAGTGATCATTTATGTAAACCTATTCATTAGAATTCTATATCATGCTCTGTCAATTCAAATATGCGCGGTGTTGCCAAGTGTCTAATTAAAATCAACGAAAAAGAAATATAAAAAAAATTACCTTATTTTTGACATAACATTAACACCGCGCATATTTGAATTGACAGAGCATAACAGAAATAACGAATAGGTTTACATAAATAATCACTTAATGATCCTCATACGCCTTTAATATGTAAATTTAAAAATAAAACTTTAATTTATTGGGTTTCCGGTGGTAATTTTGAAAAATACTCTCCTTCCTAGAGCCTAAAATGTAAGTTTTGTAAAAAAAATTCTATTTTTAAGAAAAGGGCGTTTTCGCAATATTTATCGAAGGGTTAATCAAGTCTTTCATCTTTTAGGAAACGTTTAATACTGAATTTGTTTATTGGGTATGGACGATTCAATATGAGCAATGACAAGCGATACTGTTCCAAAGTACTTTCAAATTTTATTTATATATTGTATTTATTTAAATTAAATTTAATAATAATAATGGATGTTTACAAATGTTTTAAAAAATTATAAATTTAAGTTAAGCACCTAGGTACAAGCACCTGTATGTGCAAAAAGTAATGGCAGTAAAATTATAAATTATACATATTTCATCAGTGCTATGGCATGCTAATATACTAATATAACATATACACACAGTCGTTCTCTTTCCAATACATTTGCATATATATGGGAAATTTAAGTATAAATACCCGTTGTTGTTAGGTACACGCTAAAGTCTACACAAATCAAAAAATTATATACACGCGAAACTTCAAACGTCATATTGCTGTGGTGGGAGGTGTTTGTATGAATGCGTCTTGTATGTTTTCAATTACGCCGTGACTAGCAGTAGTATTTTATAAACATTAGAAGCAAATTTCACATACATGAACAAATAATAATAATGACGTGACAACAAGAAAACGAAGCAACGACTTCTCGTAGAATGGCTGCTTCGCCGCCACCAGAAAATTTCAATCCATACGTATCTACGCCGACCGGCATAAACACCAACGGCCTAGACACCTTCTCTGTCAAGACGTTTCGTGTGTATATAACTTTTTGAATTGCGTACAAGTTAGCGTGTACCTAGACACTGTGATAAATACCACGTTTCTTGTTTTTTTACCTTTACTGAGTCAAGTTAACAAAAAGAGCAAATATCCACGTTACCGCTACGGTGACTCCTTTTTCTTTATAATATAAATAAAAACAGATATTGCCATCATTTAGGTGGCCGCGCTTTTGTTATATTTTGAAAACAGCAATAAAAGATATCGACGGAGTAGAGAAATTAATTTCTATATCGACGACTTCTGCGTAAATATCCAGTTGTCCTTAGGATGACCACCTTTTTTTTACGTTTAATATAAGTAGAAGGAGATATATAGTCAAGTTGACCAGGCAGACAGATCTTGAATAGAGCCAGATTTTTGCAGTAAAGGTTACAGTTCTTAATGGAATATTATGCGGAAGTCTAAAAATAACAAATTTGTGGGTTGCTTCCTTTCTGCACAAAGCCGTTCAATTAGACATCAAGAAGGACACACAGTCCTCATATATGCTCTAATAACATTGACTACTACTACAGTCTGTCGGTCTCCCATTAGAAATCCATTGCCTAAGCCTGGCCATACTGTATTCTCAATGTGTCCCGAACTAGTATAACCTTATGGAAATATCATTGGAGCGAAATGGATACAGCTAATACATGGCGAAACCATATTTATGTACCAGGTCAAAACTCGCTTGTTTTAAACTGGGTGACCTTCAGCTTCGAATCTTATTGAGTTCTAATTAACTGTGCTGATTCTAAAGTGGCGCTGGGAAGCAGAAACAAGGCTTGTCTGTAGGCGTGCAGTAGTATTATAGTACTAGCATTCCTGCAATATGGAGTATTAGACTACTGCTACTAATAGTACTTCATAACCTACATAAAAGGAATATCTATAAGCATAACACTTTAAAAATTGGACATATCAACGTTCGATCGATCTTAGCTGGTTTTAATGACTTTTCGACTATTGTTTGTGATAAAGATTTTGATATTGTAGCTGTGTCAGAGACATGGCTTAAAACTGATATACCATCTTCTCTTATACATATTGATGGATATAATTTTTTTCGATATGAAAGAAATAGCCGTGGTGGTGGAGTTGGAGTTTTTGTCAAAAGTAAATATCACTGTCAAACTGTCACATCTGGGCAAAGTGTAGACTTGGAGTATTTATGGGTTAAAATAAAAATTAATAGCAGATGTGTTTCAGTTGGTATTTTATATAGACCACCGAAGGGATCTGTGCCAAATTTTATTAATTTGCTGGATGATATGTTGACATCAATTGTGCCACAATTTGATAATATTTTTGTAGTTGGTGATGTAAATATCGATTTAACTAACGCTGACAATAATGTAAATAGTTGCTTTGAAGCCTATGGTCTAAAACAAGTAATTTCAGAGCCTACACGCATCACAAAAACCTCAGCTACGCTATTAGATCCTATCTATATTGAAAAATCTAAAATTTGTTTGGTAAGTGGTACTCTAAACGCTGATCTCTTTTCTGATCATAGGTTTGTTTACTGTGTTTTAAAATTTGAATGTGTAAATAATCCACAAAAGTTTATTACCTTTAGAGATATTAAAAACTTAGATATGCATGCTTTTAATAATCAATTAAATAATATACATTGGCTTGATATAGTTACTGTAACAGATATAGAAAACAAAGTCAGATTTCTTACTAATAATATTACTAAATTATTTGATACTCACTGTCCGTATAAAACAATAAGGGTCAGTAAACCTCGATCTCCCTGGCTAACAGAAAATCTCAAACTGATATACAATGAACGAAATAAAGCACTGTCTCGTTTTAAGCGCCTAAAAACGCCAGAATCTTGGAATAACTATAAACAGCTGAGAAACTTTGCTCTTCGTTCTACTAGAAATGAAAAAGCTGCCTACCTTCGTCATGTAAGTGCTCAAGGTACATCAACATTTTTTAAAACTTTGAAAACGATGAATATACAAGCTTCTAAAAATAATGACATACCATACGAATTAGCTGATCCATATAAAATTAACGATGCCTTTATCTCAGTTTTTCAAAACAGTAATGAAAACTGCTTTGAAAAAATTGCGTACTACAGAACAAATAAATTTAATTTTAATAAAACATTTGAATTTAGCCTTGTTGATGTTGACACCATCTCCAAAACTATAGGTGCAATAAAATCGAATTCCAGTGGCGTAGATAATATATCTTTAGAAATGCTTAAACTTTGTATGCCAGTGATTTCTATTTATATTACGCACATTGTGAACTGTTGCCTTGAAAGCGGATATTTTCCTGATCAGTGGAAAAAAGCAGTCGTGGTACCTCTTCCAAAAAAAACAAATCCAACTACTTTTAATGAATTGCGTCCTATAAGTTTACTTCCTATTCTCTCTAAAGTTTTGGAGAGAATAGTGTATGAGCAAATCTATGAATTCTTTTCATCTAATAATATACTTCCATTGCACCAATCAGGATTTCGAAAAGGGCACAGTACCACCACTGCTCTTTGCCACTTAACGGACTCAGTAATGTCGGGATTGGATCAAAAACAAGCCACAGCCCTAGTGTTACTTGACTATACTAAAGCGTTTGATACTTTAAATCACCTTTTATTAATTTCTAAATGCAATTATTATGGTTTTTCTGAAAAGCCACTTTCTTTTATAAAAACATATCTTAATAATCGTTCGCAAAAAGTTTTACTAAATAGTCAATCATCAAGTTTCCTATCAATTCAATCTGGAGTTCCGCAGGGTTCCATTCTAGGGCCTTTGCTATTCCTTATTTATACGTCTGATTTAAACAAACAAATAAAAACGTGCAAGGTCCAATTTTTTGCTGATGATACTCAATTACATCACACTTTTGATGATAATAACTCTAATGCAGCACAGAATATAATGAACGCTGATTTATCACGAATAAACACATATTCTGTAAACCATAACTTGCATTTGAATGCTTCTAAATCTAAGTTAATTTTATTTTCGAATACCAACTCACGTTCAAGCATAAAAAGTAATATGTCAATTAAAATTGATGACGATACAGTCCCATGTGTAAATGTAGCTAGAAGTCTAGGCTTACTTTTAGATGAGAACATGCGGTTTATTGAATATGTGAATAACCTCTCTTCTCAGTGTTATTTAACATTAAAATTATTATTTGCCAATAAGTATATATTGTCACAACAAATGAAAAAAGACCTTTGCGAAACTCTAATATTGAGTAAAATATTATATTGCATAGTAATTTACTATTCTTGTTTAGATTTAGTAACTTCGAACAGACTGCAAAAAATTCAAAATACCTGCTGTCGCTTTATTTATGGGTTGCGCAAATATGATCACATTTCAACATATTTTAGGCAGCTGCAATGGTTAAACATCAAAAACTTATTTAAATATCATCTTCTCTCTTTTGTCCACAATATACTAAAATCTCAAAATCCACCATATTTGGCAACTAAATTAATTTCTCGTAATCAGATTCACAATGTAAATATCCGCAGACAATTTACACTAACAATGCCACAACACACATCTGCTATTTTTGCTAGAAGTTTTACGTACAATGCCATTAAACTTTATAATGAACTAGACGATGAGCTAAAAAATACTTATTCTCGATCAAGTTTTAAACACAAACTAAAAAAACTCCTACTCCAACAGCAAGCCAACAATTAATACGTTTGTTTTTTCCTATATTTAAAATTTAAATTTATTTTAATTCTACTACTTTTATTATTGTTTTTATGTTTTCTACTGTTTTAACCTTATTTGTGTATTGTATTTTAACATTTAAACATTTTAACATTTTAATATATCTTAATACTTTCTGTTTTAAATTAAGAGGAGTTAGATGGAAGAATAGCCTATGGCTAAATCTCGCTCCATTGCTAAAATTTTTGTAATATTTTGAAAAATTATCAATAAAGACGGTTTATTATTATTATTATTATTATAAAAGACGAGGCTAATGGCCTAAGTTGTCAAAACCAAAGACACCAACGAAAAAAGAATTTGTTTATGTTCAATCTATTTATTGTGATATTTAATTTTATGGATCATGTTTTATCAGGTCCTGTGGCTGTTTTTATTGTTTTAGTTAGCAGAACTCATAGCTTGGATATTTTATATTAAATTGCGATGACCAGCAAGTAAAATCATTACTTCAATGATTGTATCGATATATGTCAGGCGCAATTGCCTCCAATAACTTTTACATTACAATTATCCTATTATAGTTCTTCGTACAACGATACAACCACGGCGTATATTGTATTTTTTATAGAAGAGGTAACAGAGAAACTAAAACATTATTTCGAAATATACATTTCATGAAATAATTTATTTAAATAGAACCATACA